ATTGTATAGTGTCCCATAGCTTCTTTCCTCTGATTCAAAAGTCGGTGCCAAATCCAAAATTAGTTTAGAATTGGCTGTATTCTTAACCTTTAACCAATCAGAAATCTGCAGAGGGGTCATCTCAATGGTATGAGGCAAACCAGGAATTGTAAACTTGTGCGTATCAGAAACTAAATCATCATGAGGTCTATACTTGGCGATAAAACGAAAGGCGCAATTGGAGAAGTAGCTTGCGCTGTAATAGTGAATTGTTGGAATGTTTAGTTTTGCAGCTGATTCAACAGTCCAATCATGCATCATATCAGTTATTATGCAATCCGGTTGAAGATCTTGAAACAGAACCTGGATTGGTTTTTGGAGCATTGAAATCCCACGGCAAATTTTTGCGAAAATTTCACGTGAAGTGCCATCTTTGAGATTTTCAACGCCATGAGGGAGACCAACTTGAGCTGAAGGGAAGTGAATGAGATGAGTTTTGATGGAGTATCCTGAATTGAAGTCAGTGTCTATGGATTTTTGGAAGGTTGAGGCACTGGCTTGTGTGGTGATGATGGTAACATTAACACCATGTTTGGCAAATAGTCTTGCTGTGTCAATCATGGGGATCATATGGCCTGGAGTTGGATATGGAAGAAAAACTACATGAAGTTGGTTGTGGGATTGTTGAAACTTCATTGTTGCTTTTGAAATCTTTGAGGTGGATATGTGGTTCTTTTCTTTGGAGAGTTGATAATTAAGAGTGGTAGTTTCTGTATCTGTGAGAAAGATTGTTTTATAATCATATGTCTGAAAAGGAAGAAAATAAATCAAACTTCTCCTCCTATTATTTTTTTTATTAAACTAATATTATTAGTTATTGATAGGAATGAGAATAGGTCAGATGTTCTACAAAAGCCAAAATCCTACAACCTGGGCTATTTAACAAAAAGGTAAAGGTTAGATCTAAGATTTTTTTTAAATCTATGTAATTGAAAAAATTTAAGAAGTTTTATAATTCGACTTATATATGCATGTTTATTAAAAATATGCTCAATAGTCTATAAAGAGTTTTGTTCTCTTAAGAAGGACCAGCCCAAAAATTTAAAATTTAATATTTTTAATATAATAATTTTAGATATTTTAAGATATAAAAATATTTAATTGTTATAGTTTATTTTGTTAATACTTTATTTTAATTGATAATAAAATTATCTCATTTAAACACTCTTTTTATTATTTAAAAAATAATATTAAAAAATAGATACTAAGTCTCCTATTATAAAAAATCTCAAAAATTTATTTTTTATGCATGTGACTTTTAAATTAATAAATTAAATAATATATTTCAAATAGATATTATTATGTAATTAATATATAATACAATTTAAAGATTTTTTTTATAAATAAAGATCTTTAAATAAAATCATATATAAATATAAATAAAAAAGTGAAGTTTTACGTAGTAGTCCTACTGGCTCACTCTTAAGGCCGACCTTTAAATTACTTAAAAATTTTAATATAAAATTTATTTTTCAAATAGACTTACATACCAAAAAAATAGTCTATAATAAACGATAAATTATCTCCAATTTTTAAATATTCATTGTGAATTAGACTCAGATTTTTTAAGAATGGTTTGACTGATATATTCTCATTAATGAAATTTTTTGTTATTGTCTAGCTTTGTTGTTGTAAATACAAAATTTATATTATATTTTAAATGTAATTGTGCATAATATCAATTATATATTATAATAAATTAATTAATTTTAATTTTAATTTTAAAAATGAAAATAATAACTATTTAAAAATAAGGCTAATAATAACTTATGCACTAAAGACATAAGTTAAAAGAGTCCACTTATAGTAAGTTATATAGGAAAAAAATAATTTTATAGTTTTATTAAAATTGATGCACAGTTTTAAAAAAAAAATTTATTTAATTCTTAATTTATCTCTCTAAAATACAAGTTAGCGTTTATCTTAAAAATAATTTTCTTTATTAAAATAATATTTATTGTGAAAAAGCGAGTGGGGACAACAAGTCACCTCTTTATCAAGTGTCACTAAAATTCTAAAGTGGCATAATTTTGTCTTATTGCTTTTCTTGCATACACAAACTCTGAATCAATATTTCTTAGAAGTTTAGGAAATAGTGCAGTCACGCAGGAGCGACTTCATACTCGGATTTGCACCGTCTAAATTTTAATTTGATATTTTTAACTTTATATATCAACCGATTCTAAACACATTAAATTCATCCATTATATATTAATAATTATATAAATAAAAAAACTTAAACACATTAAATTGACACAAATATAATATATAAGTCATACTTATGCACAATTATATATTTTAACAAATTATTTTTTAATAATAATCAAGATATCTAAATGGCTAATGTATTATATTTTAATAGTAAATAAACTACAGTTTTAATTTTTCTATTTTATCTGATTTACGATATTAGTTCATAGTTTTAAATTTAAACAGTTTTGATTCCTCTATTTTAAATTTAAACAATTTTAGGACTTTTTTACAGCAGTGCCCTAGTTTAAAATCTTTAATACCAAACTATTCTAGTCTGAAAATAATTTACGAGGGTGTCCTCATTTCAGAACTTACTCGTCCACTCAAGTAGCAAGTTGAGTCATGGTTTTTGGCAGTGTAGGTGCTCGCCCACTCAAGTGGCGAGCACATGAAGAACTGGTTTTTTTTCTTCATATTTATATTATGTTTAATTAATTAAAAAATAATTTTAAACATTAAAAATATATTATATTAATTTAATTATGATATTAGTGTTAAATATTTATTATATATCATGTTTAATTATGATATTTAATTTAATTATATATAATCTTTATAACAATATTATATATCATGTTATTATATTAATTTTATTATATAATATTATATAGAATGAAAAAAATTGCGAATGATATAATAATTTAATTTTTCTTTCTGTCATGTATTAAAAAAGAATGATTGATGTTCGTCCAAGGAGTTGTATAATTTTTACAGACTCTTGATCATTGAATGACCGAGTTCAAACGTAATTTTTTTTTATAAATTGACGTATTGTGCGTCAGCACAAATCATTCGTGTCTAGTGTTCCGTGTTTTAAAAGTGTTTGTCTGAGCTCTTGTTTTTTATGGACAAGAAAAAAAACCAGTGTTAATCTAGATCCGCAGTGGAATTTCAGAATTGTGGTTGCAGCAATTAACACGGGGTTTCGACAGTTGGGCGGTCATCGCATGACGGTGAGAAAAATGGAGTATCGTTGTCCGTATATAATGCTGACTGATGTTAGCCCGGAGGGTACGTACATGTATTACTTGGATTGTATGAAAAAGGATGAAGATGTCCAATGTATGTTTTCAGCACATAGTGGCGAAGTTAACAGAGGAGTTGCAAATTCACTTGTGTTAGTTGTTGATGTTGGTTAGCGTGTATGTTAGCTTCTTGAGTTTTATTTTTAAGTTTATGGTTATAATTTGCTAGTATTGCTGTAATCTAAAAGTTGTCTTGAATTACAAATAAATGTTAGATCACATAGAAATCAAGTACGAGCAAAATAAATAAAATTATCTAGACGGTCGGTTTGACGGGCCGACAACATTTGGACATTTTCTACGCATATGACATATTTCTCTAAAAATCCCACACCTTCTCTTTTCTTTTTCAGCATCGTCCATCTCAGTTCTAATCCTAGTACTGGTTGGACATCCCTTTTTATTTCTTCTCATGGAATCGTCGTGGCATAGAGTAAAATCTTCATATTTTGGTCAGTTCTCCTCGTGCGGTAGTCTCAGGAAGCTTTCTTTGTAGACTTTGAATACGTTAAGTACGGTGAAGACCTCTGGAATGTGAATTGTGTAGTCTTATTGTATGCTAGAACATGTTGCGATCACGTGGGAGCAAGGCAAGTGAAATGCTTGAAATTTTCCACAGTCACACCAACGATTCCTCAGGTCAACGCTGAAAGTACCCGTTGGACGACCATCGTTTTGATTAATTTTTTCCTGCACCATGAAACAGAATCTTTCGCGATCAAATTACATGACATTGTGTGTGTTAGCCTTGGCTACCTCATCAGTCATTCCCTTGTTGCAAGCATCTGTGAAAACTTTCCTTGTAGCTAGCATTTTGGTCCATTTATGTCCTCGTTTACCAAAGAGTGAACCCATTCGATAGTATGTAGACTGGACCAAAGCAGTGACTGGAAGGTTTTTGGTTGCCTTTAGTACAGAGTTCATGGCATCTGCCAAGTTAGATGTCATATGTCCCCAACGCTGCCCTCCATCAAATGCTCTAGCCCACCTCTCCTTAGGTATGTTGTCTATCCAATTTGAAGCCTCAATGTCTGTTCTTCTGATTTCTCCGTGATAGTAATTAAATGTAGCCTCCGCCAATGCGTAACATGTAATAGAAATTGTATGAAAAACATAGTAAAAGTATGATACAATAGTTGAGATAACTGAAATGTATTTTGTTACCCATGTTAATAAGTTTTTTGCATAGATCATTGTCCTTAATCTCGCGCATGAAGTTCGGCGCAATGTGTCTAATGCAGTAGACATGTGAAGATAATGGATGTTGCCATCCGTTTTCGGGATTGTTATATGCATTCTTTATCGATTCATGTCTGTCAGAGATTAGGCACAAATTAGGTCGTGGTGTCACGTGTAACCTCAGTTTCCTTAGGAAAAAGCTCCATGCTTCCTTTGTTTCACTTTCGACCAATGCGAATGCTATTGGGAAAATGTTTGCGTCTCCATCCTATGCCACCGCCATCAATAGAGTTCCTCTATAATTTCCATACAACCAAGTTTCATCTACTTGCACAATAGGCTTACAGTAGGCGAAGCCACGTATACACGGACGAAATGCCCAAAATAGACTATGGAAGATTCGTTTTCCAGAGAGTTGAGAACCATCATTTGAAATTGCAGGCAGGGTTTGCAAATCTATAATGGTTCCTGGAAGGTAGGTTTTCATTACCAATATCCACTATAATGGTTCCTTTTGTAGGGGATCTAGAAAAATATGGCACCTATAGTTGGGGTTTTGCATGTCTTGCAAAACTGTACAGGGAAATATGCAAGGCAACAGTCAAAGATGTTAGGAGCATGATTGGTTGTGTTCTTCTACTCACTTCTTGGGCATTCACGTGTATACCATTGTTTGCGCCTGTTAGTACAGTGCAACCGTCATATCCATACGCACAAAGGTATTACTAGATTAAAACACACATTTATGTGTATGTTATATATATATATATATATATATATATATATATATATATATATATATATATATATATATATATATATATATATATATATATATATATATATATATATATATATATATATATATATATATATATATATATATATATATATATATATATATATATATATATATATATATATATTCAATTATGCCTAACAATATTTATATTTTTTGTTTATGCAAGATGGGCCCAAAGACGGATGAATTACGATGTTAATCCTCGTTTCCATCTACAAGGATATCGAAACGCATTGTAAGTTTGAAACCATAGAACATAGTTGTCAGTTATACTCCTTAATGGTATTATAATTTTTTTTTAATATGTGGCAATTTATATAGAGGCCGTACATTCAATACCCGGTGCCCGATCTTAGAGATAGCCAGATCTGGAGTGCTACGCCTCTCTTATTTGTTTCTATACCGTTGAAATGCATCAAACAGATAGGGTAAAACTCCAGTAGGAATTTGAACAACAAATTCCTTCCCCGCCAAGGTGTCTAAGGGAACACCGCGCAATGACAATGAGAAAAGTCCAAAAAGTTCATTGGAGAGACTTAAACAAAGAGGAGGTGAGAGAATGGAAACAAAGAAGACATTTGATTTTGCAGGGGGATGTTGTAGTTGGTGAACGCAAGTCAAGCCAAAAGTATTTAACTTAGTTTCGTGCCATTCCCTATGTGCATATTGCTCCAGACTAATTTTTGATCGACCCACGCATGCAAGGTTCGTCATCAATACAACCAACTGCCACATCAATGCATCAGGATGTGCCACCAAACTACACATCTCAATTTGGGGGGCACGCATCTTCATCAGCTCAGCATACATACCAACGCACACAGACAACCGAACAACACATATATTATGCATCCTCATCCCAACAACAAACTCCCTATAATTCACTCCCTCAACAAAACTATAACTACAACTACAACCAACAATATCAACCTCAATCCAACCTTCAACCACCCTTACAGTTCACTCTAGTTCCACCACCCAACTTTGATCAGTCAAACCCTCAATTACAATATCAAACCTTCAACACTTCATTCTCTCAACTCACCTCCACATTCACGCCTGATGATGTCTACTACCCAACCCTCCAACAAACTCAACCCGAAACCTGCCTCCAACCACCGCAACCATCACAATCATTCCAAAAAAAAATTGCTGACAGAGGATCAACTGATGCAAATGTCAGATTTTAACATTGATGATCTTGTTGTTGAGCAACCATCAACACAAGCAGAACCCTCTTCAAGACAGGCAGACCCCCCTACAACACATCACGATGAAGATATGATTTCCGACTCATCTCAATCACCTACAACGAATGCAAATGAACGTGTGGGCAAGAGATATCGATAGAAAAGGGCCACTAGGTGTGGAATTGCGGGCCATTTTTGATCAAACTTATATGTAACATGTATTTCTGTTTAATATATTTCATTGTTGTATTTAATTAATACAGCAAATTTATTATTATGATATATTTTTAATTGATATTTAATTATTATGTTAATACAACATAAAATATTTTATTCTTATAATGTATTTTTAATTAGTATTTAATTATTAGATTAATAAAATATAAAATATTTTATCATTATAATATAGTTTTAATTAATATTTTATTATTAAATTAATATAATATATTTTATAATATAATTTTTATATTAAAATTATTAAATATGTGATTAATTATATAATATAAATATGAAAAACAAAAAAAAAAACCAGTTCTTCATGTGCTCGCCACTTGAGTGGGCGAGCACCTACACTGCCAAAAATCATGACTCAGCTCGCCACTTGAGTGGACGAGCAAGTTCTGAAATGAGGGCACCCTCGCAAATTATTTTCAGACTAGGGTAGTTTGGTATTAACGGTTTCAAACTAGGGCACTGCTGTAAAAAAAGTCCAGTTTTAGTCTCCCTCTTAAATTTTTTCATAAAAAATCGATTAAAATTTCGTTTTTTAACTTATATTTTTATCTACAAAGTTCAAAAATATGATGATTATGTAAAATATCATTTTAAAAATAAAAAAAAATCGTTAATTTTAAATTTAAAATTACGAAAGGGTGATCAAAACTGTTTAAATTTAAAATAAATTGATCAATTTCGTGAGTCAAGTAAAATATGGGAATAAAAACTCTAATTAAGCCAAATAGTTAATAAGAAGGATGAGTGAGTACATCAGCTAATATATTTTCTCATAATTATATGGATGTGCTGCAAAGCAAAAGTGTTTTTCCCTTTTAAAACTTGATTTAAAAGACTATGATAATATAGAAATATTTTCAAGCTAATTTTAAAAGAGAAAATGAGTGATGCATTGATAGTGTAAAAAATTTGTATCCTATTAATTAATTACGATTATAAATCCCGTTAAATCAAATTATAATTTTTAAAAAATTTATATAATATAACAAAATGATATGTTTTTATTAAATAAGAGTATAAAACTTTTTTATGCTATTGGTGCAGCTTCTTTAATCTCATTTTAAAAATAGGTGACATTTTGCCTAGAGAATACAAGATTGGAGAATTCCACTATCGTTGATTTAATGGTTACATATTTGTAAGTAGCCAGCCAAGTAGGGCTGCTGTATTCATGAAGTCAACACTCAACTTTGGACAGCCAATTTAAAATTTAGCATAAATACAAAATAGAAATCAAAGAAATTTGTACATTTATATTTATGGAGACTATTCTTATAGTATCTCCAATAATGCAATCTAAAATAAGTTTCTCATTCAACCACATCTTGAAATAAGTCCTTTTTTTTAATGGTAGATTTTTAAAGAACTTACAATGAATTCAATAATTATTTTCACACAATAAATCATTTAGATATATAATGAGATCCAATTAGGAAATAAGAGTTAATTGCCCTGGATAATAAGATCCAATTAAGTTTTGTAATTAACAGTTTTCTATTTTATTTCAAATCATAACTTATAAAGTATGCAACTATTTTGTTTTGTTATAATAGTTGATATGAACTATTTGAGATGACAGTGTAATTTATTAATTCATCAATTCTTAATAACTCTATTTATAATGATGAACATGTCACGTTCTCTTCAAAACTAATAGTAATTTAATTATTGTTTTTTAATCTCTAATAGCTTATTTATATAATTGCACATAAGAAAGAATTTGGTTAAGATATTATTCAATTTTTTTTAAAATTAAAATTGTGCAATTATATATGAATTAAAATAATATCTCTCATAAATACAATTATATGAATTTCTCTATTTTAAATAAAATATAATCAATTTGTTACTCATTTATGATAGATATAGTTGTACAAATTTTATTTAGTAAAATAATTAATAATATTTTAATTTTAGTAAAAATCATATTGATAATAATTATATTTCACCTGTGTCTTATTATTAATTTAATTTTATTCAATGTACTTGTGATTTATTGATACGTTAATTATGATTCAAATATTCTATCGGTATTAAAACTTTTTTGTGACGTAATATTTGTACAATATCATTATATTTCTTATTTGATTTTATTGATATCTTCATTTAAGATTATGATGAATAAGAATTTCTATTTAAAGCTATGTAATGATTTAATTTAAGGAAATTCAATAATGTATTTTAAATACTTTTTGTATTATGTAAGTGATGGATGTATTTTATCGGTGTGACATTAATTGACATGTTCATTGTGTGATAGAGAAAATAGTTAAAAACTTGTTTAAATATATTTAAAACTCTAATAGTTCAACTAGTTTTTTTTTCTATCAAGTGGAAGAATTTAACAGGTCAATTATATAGAACTAAGAAACAAATATTATTTATTTAATATAATATTATTTTATAAAGACTTATATTGAAGATATTATAGTTTTATGTTATTGAAGAAAATCTATAATAACTTTTGTTATATCCTTAATATTAAATAAATCAAAATATCATTTTTCTTGTTGCGTATACATAATATATTTTTTCAAATATGTGTAGCTATATTTGTAGCATTTAAATTTTGAGTGGGTTATTAATATGTTGTATATATTCGTAAATTATATTTAAAATATAAGGATTTGACCTCTCTTAAATTATGGTAAACCTCTCTTATATAACCATCATACTCTTTCATATGAAATTATCTAAATAATAATACATTTTATTTACGTGCAAAATATGTCGTTGAGTTTGTAATATTCTAATGATGATATAATATACAACCATTTTTCAATATAGTTTTGCACAAAAAATTAAATCAGTATCACATTGTACAATCAGAGTATTTAATCGTACTGAAATCTAATAAATTTTTATCGCATTTATTCATATTGGGTCAGTGGAAGTACATGTGTACACAATTATATAATCTAAAAACTTTTAGATTATTATTCTCATATTGTCATATACTCTTGTGCAGACTATAAATATGACATATTCTAAGAAGATTTATAACTCTAAGATGTCTTATTCTATTATACTGAGGTATATATTATTCTTTTAATCTCATTAAACATCATAATTTGATGTTTATGTCGATCACCACTATAAATAATATTTTTTATGACAAAACTTTCACCTCGAAGATGCCAAAAACCAAGCGTACAGATCCTGGGAGTGACATGTTTGATTTTTTTAAAACAACATATTTTCTCGGTATTTAAAATTGAGGTAATATAACTATAAGTGAGCCCTAGATTTTCTCAAAAAAATGACAATAAACCTATTACCTCGGTGTTTTTGAAAATCGAGGGAACATAACTGATCTTACCGAACGATCAGAACCTGAGATGGGGCAAAGACAAATGTCTGTGATGCTGGGTGTGAAAGAAGAGGGAGGTGTACCTGCAAGATACTCCGATGCTAAAGTAAGAAAACGAGCAAGAGAGCGAGCAAAAACAGAATATGTGTGTTTCAAGGTGAAAAATTGGATACCTGACCCTCTCAAATGAGAGGGTTTTTATAATGTCCCCAGCGCTTGACCATTAGTCCCTATTTTCGAGGCGAGATAACCGTTTCCCGAAGATTAGGTAACTGTCAGAAATAGCCGTTGGAACGGGAAGACGTGCCCATAACTAGTCGTTGGCACGGGCAGGGGCGTCGTTACGGACACAAGCGTCTTGGCTGTTTTTGGGTGGTGGAACCGTGAGTGACAGGCAGAGACTAACGGGGAAAAGTGTTGTGACCAAGGGTAAATAAGTCAACTTTCCTTGTTGGAGGGGAAGAAAGGTAAACTTTCCCCCGAAGAGGTTGGACTTAGGCACTTG